CACTGGTGACCCTGATTCTGCACGAAGCAGCGCCGACTTTGCCAATGACGAGGCTAATCGAGAAGAGGGTTAGGTCCATTGCCAGCGAGCCGGCTCGTTCTCGCGCAGCAACTGCATCCAACTTCTCTCGTATTCGTATTCCAGGCTTGCGGTCGTTCAACGCGCAGTTCCGCACGTTTCCGGTTTATCGACGAGTCCTTGCAGCGAATATCAAGGATTTCGCGTGGGATGGATGTTAATAAGTTTCCGAGGAATGCCGGAATGCCGGAATACCGGGACTGATATTTTTAGGTATCTAAAGAGATGGATTTTTCTCGCGTTTAAAGACGATTCTGGTCAGTTTTCTCCCGTTAAATGTCATTTCTTTCTGCGATTACTGCGATTTCTGCGGATACTCGCAGAATGGGGTTCCGTTTTGTGATATTCTTCAGTTTGAAAAGAGTAGATAAGTTTAACGTTTCCAACGGGGATATGTACGCATTTTTGTATTTCGTATTTTGTAGTTCTTGGGATTCTCGTAAAGAAACACGATACTCGCGATATAGTATGTTTTACGATTCTTGTAATCTTTTTATCGAAATATCATTAGTTAATCCCTGTTTCGATATATCTATATTCGATATATATATTCCTCGTCCTTTATTTTAGAATTTTACTATTACTAGTGATTAATTTCACTATTATCCACGTTATCATAGATGAACGTAGCGAAATAACGAGTCATTTATTATCTAGATTATAACGGAAAAAATAAAAGCATCGTTTTAATGACACTGCTGATAGTGCAGTTGACCGGCGTTAAGGGGATTATTACTGGCGAGCACAACATTTCAACTGAAAATTATCGTCGCCTCTGTTTGCACGTGAATCTGAGCGCTATTTTAACAGGACTTTGTCTGTTTGTGTGGCGAACCTTTGTTAAGCGTGAAATAGACACTACTGGTACGTGCCTGCTCGGACTGGATGCCACGATGCATCCTCTGTTCTGCTTGCTTCTCTCGTTATCACACTTAAGGGACGCTCCTGATTCTTCTCCCGATTCTTGCTTAATTGACACTTTTCCTATATTTTGAACAATATCCTCGCTTTTCTTAGAATTTCTAAATATATTCGCTGCTACGAGAACTTGCATCATTTCCCTCGAACGTTGAAAGATCATTTTGACCTGTAAAAAGATTTCTCAATTCTCCTCGATATACGACGCTCGATATTCTCAAAGAAATTCACGCTTATTACTCAATGAATCGTATAATTATTACTGCATTACTAACGAACTCCCCATTACTTACTTAACTTATCCCCGAGGCAGAAAATATTTTCTACTAAACTAAACTAAACTAAACTAAACGAGTTTTATTTATCGAAACTTCTCGGCTCTTTTACGCAGACTCTCTATCTATTCTTCGTAATAATTTTTGGCACACTTTTTTGTTAGTACAACGTGTTACTACAAAATTGCTGGTTTATCTTTTATCTTTATTTCATTTGCTTATTCAAAGTGTAAGCTTTTTTGAAATGTGCAGCCTCGAAATAATATTGTATAGTATCCTCCACATGTATATAGTAGGTTTTTGCGATGCAGATTCACAAGGATAATTCGATATTTCGTTGGGAAACATTATCGATCATTTTGAGTCACGCACAAGCATATTTCTCTCGGGTAACGTCGATTCAGTGGATCACCGACATTGTTCATTTCCACAAATCGATTCATCAAATATCATATTACTAGATTTTAACGTATCGGAGGATTTATAGATCGAAACGATAAAATAACGTACCGTATCGTACATACGTCGAAGGTTTAAGAAACACAGGCAGACCACTGATTTCAAATACACGATACATATTTTCAGCTATGATTACAACAAAATTACGTATTGCGCAAGAGATTGTACGAAAGCGTTACTCGTGCTCGTACAAGCGAAATTTCATGAAACGCGGTATTTTCTCTGTAATTCTATTATATATTCGGCAAACTGGCCAATCTTCATCGCCAAGGGGAAATGCATACGGTATTTTCAAAACAAAATTAACCTTAGCATTCGAATTATTTTCGAGACAATTTTGGAAATTATCAAACGTAAAGTAAGAAACGTTCTATCGTTATTGCTATACTTTCTTGCCTATAGTAAATATCTAAATTACGTTACATGTACATACACGTGTACCTATGTATATTTATGTAGTAACTTATGGATCTTAGAGTAAGGACAAATAATGATGTCTTATTTAGAGTTTAGTGTAGTTTAATAAGCTCAATAAGATAAGATACTCAATAAGAAAAGGACCGATTACAATATCGTCGTACGTCTTATTATCATACTATCCCGCTCCTCCACTCGCACTCTCTCACTTCTCGATTCTCTCGACTCTGTGACCTCTTAACTCGCATTCTGGCCGTTCTAGCATCTCTTTGTCTTTTGCTAGGCCCACCACGCGCGTGTTCCGCAGACGCTCGTGGCCAGGGTCACGTAGGCCCTTTCTACGAAACTATACACTTGAAAAGACCGATGACACATTGATAGACCCGACGGCACCTCGGCTTTCGCGACATTCTTCGTGGTTAACTCGATGTCTCTCGGGCCCTTTTCCCCGATACTACATTTATATCTTTTTTATTTCTTATTTCTATTAAAAATATCGCATCAATGTCTTTGGTCGAACGACTCGGATGTCTCTTCTTTTTATATCATGTTTCGTGTTGTTTCATTGCACGTGCAAGTCGCGAAGATTCTGCGGGCCAACGGGATTTTTACTGGCGGAAGGAGAAAAGATCGCGGTAAAAGTTTGATGAGTTTGCAACGAAGGTAACTCGTTGTTAGCCCGAGGCGGTGGAAAAATAAGCGACAAACGTAGCACACGATTTTCACCCGACGACAACTCGTTGAACTGGCAGCGAAACTTTCTCGTGAAATTGAACACTCGTGAAACCGTAGATCGGTGTAGGCGATTTCTTGTAATAATATCGCGCAAGTTACCTTCCGACGATAGAAAATAAGAAAACTGGAAAATGCTGGAGATCGATTCTTCGCACGCCGAAGATTCTGAAATAAATTCTACATACATTTTAGTCGATATTTACCATCTATATTTCGCATATAAACAACTGACTTTTTCTACCTTTCTCGTATATTATGTTTGTAGGAAATATCAGAGATATTTTTTAGTCGTTACCTATTAATCGTTATTTATGTTTTGTCGAAGAAAGAAATTAAATTAACGGAGTTGTAAATAAATTCTTACGTGTTGTATCGTTAAGAAATGTACTTGACAAATTAAGTTCGAAGTAAACGTGTAAAGTTATTCGAAAAGCGTCGAAAATATTTCCGCTTGTTAAAACAAAGATCTGTTCGATTATGTAGAGATTGTCGAGTTTAGGTATGTGAAATAGATGTAAAATATGCGAGGAAATCAGACAGATGGATAAAAACTTACACAGCCTCGTCTTTTTCCTTATATCTAGCACAAGTTGACCAGTTTCAGTAGTACAAGTCTGCGATTAGTCGGATCAGCTAGTTTTCCAGGGAAAGAAACGAACGAAGTAAAAGAACGAAGCAGGTAGTTTTAATTCCTGTACGCGTTCGTCGGCCACTAAAGTCCGCAGAATGAAAAGCAACGGGGCGATTTCAAATCGATTTTAAACATCGAATACAGGAGATACAGGTCAGATAAACATCGAATACAGGGAGATTGGAAAAATTGACGGTAGGCAGCGATCAGTCCCTACCGATTCCTATTTCAGGCCGCTTTATATACAATTCTATAAATTAACTAAAAATGGAGGGCCCGTGTTATCGGTAATCTGTCGATAAAAGTTCAAGGTCCATTAAATACGCTCCAACTTTATCTTCTTTAAAACGAGGCCTTGAACGAAACAGTTTTATTCTATGTTTTCGGTATATTTTCGCTAATCGTTATCAATCGAATGTCTCCGTAAGCCATCGCGTACAAAGAAACACCGTTCAAAAACGCCTCTCCTCTTGGACGGCATCCAGTTAAACTCGATCGCCGAAGAAAAATCATCTCGCTCGCTTTTGCCAATTAACCTTGCACTTGCCAACGCGACGCTTATCGCTGTGAAGAGGGTGCCAGAATCCCTCTACCACGGCCTCC